ACCACTCGTTACAGGTAATTATCCTTAATATCTTATATTTTTCTAGCATTAACATTTTTACCAAAGGTGAGTTACAATTTGAACATTCTTTTCTGTTTTTGATCTTTAGGCCTCTTTATAGCTGGTGGAGTAACTGCTGGTATTCTTCTGGTAGTCTGGTGCTTATCATGGATACAGAGAATAAAGAGAATTGCTGCTCAATCTCAAAGCAAAGACTTGTCTGCAACTCCTCCATCTGGCAAAGTCCTGGGCCCTACTACTGTTGTTACTTGAACATTCTTCTCCAGCTACACTTATTGTTGTATCTTAAAGAAAAATAATAATTAGTGGATTTATAAAAAAATATATATTAACAAGAAATTATCATTAAAATATACGTGAAAAACTTACTTACTTTAAAGCGATTTACGCATCTGCGAACCTTTGCGAAGAATAGATTGACTGGTGTAGTGAAAATATACATAACATGTCAGATGCTACAACTTTATAATTACATTCTATGAATTTACACTACTTATAGAGTTATCTAATTCAAAACACCATTCTTTGCCCAATAATATTTAAAAGATAAAATAAGGTAAGAAAAATAGAAGAATGTGAAGGAATACACTCACTTGAGCAAAAAAGCATGTCCTATTTATAAGACTTACGATGGTTATGTAACTTTCATTTGTAGTTTATTATAGGAATAAATTGAACAATTATTATGAAATAATTAATGTACCCTTAAATAAGGCAATTAATTTACAACGATTAGTTTGATCAAGTATTTAATAGAACAATAAATTTAATTTATAAAATATATTATTTTATTTTTTTATTAAAATATTTAAGTTCCAACAATTTCTCCATTATTTTAATGAAAAATAAACCTTTCTTTTGGGCAACGATTTTGAGCAACCCTAATCAGTTCCTCAGGAGGAAGATACAAATGTAATTAGTAAATAAAGCAATTCTACTTCTCTTAAGAGAGTAAAGAATGCCTCTCTAGTACTTGTTTGGAGGTGTGAGTTTTGACCGTGCCAAGTGCCAACCTTTTCAACCTTGTGTTTGATTAGGGTTGCTCAAAATCTTGGTTAGAAACTTTAATTGGGCTGCTAGGAAAAAAAAGCTAGATATGATAATAGTGGAAATTAGGGGTGTTTACATCCGATTCAATCTAATTGATTTGATCTAAACTGATCCAATCTAATTGATCTGACATAAACTGATCTAATCCAATAAAAAACTGAACCACATCGATATAAAATTGGATTGGTTTGGATTATAAAATTTTAAAACCAATATAATTGGTTTGGTTTATAATCTTACTTGTTCGAACCACTCAATTATAAAATAAAATCTGATTACATGATAATTTAATTAAATATAGTATATTTTTTGTAATATTTTAAATTTTTTCTTATTTTATAAGATGATAACTCCGTTAACTTAATTTAAAAATAAAAATAAAATATCCTTAGACTCTCTAATTTATTTTCCTTTCTAAATTATGCACTATAACCCTAATTTTAAATGTATTTTATAGTTATAATTTTTATTTAATGTTAAAATTTTTTATATTATCTTATATATTTAATAGTGTTAAAAACTGATAAATCCGACTGAATCACACCAATCTGATTTTAGTTGGATTAGATTGGTATAAAAATTTTATTAACTGATTAAATTAAATTAATTTATAAAATATTAAAATTTGAACCAAACCACACCGCTAACCCGCTAGTGGAAATATAAACTCTTAACTTCCAAACTGAATTCTGAAATAGGTCACAGCCATCGAATGTTAAATTGTGCATGCAGTTCTGGGTGAAACAAGACGAAGCAACTACGATTGAAGAGCTAACTAGAAAACTGGGCCATGTCATTTCATTGTTTATATATATATATTTCCATTCATGTGGCAAGACGAATCTTTCCATTGATTTAGTCATTTAGAGCTGTTTTAGCCAAATTGGGAAACCAGAGAGTTGGACATAATAAGCAAATGAAGAAACACAGTATTCTATAATGTTTTTTAAAGTTCAAATCAACAAAGTCTGCAGCTTCACCTTCCTCCATTTTTTTTTTCTACGAATACTTTCAATGCAGATACCAAAATTAACTAAACATATTGTGTAGTTGAAATAAATATGCATATCTTCTTCTCTTTGAAACAATGAACTGTTCTCTTACCATGAAAAACATTTAAAAGAGTTAGCAGACAGAATTTAAAGTAGAAAAAAGACAGTCCAGAGGGAACGCACTAACTGAGCAAGGTCATCTTCACTTTTTCTTTTCTTTCTTTCTTTTTTTTTTTCTCTTTTTTTTTTTTTTTTTTTGACAAGGATAATGGTTAGGAGTTAAAAGTTAAAAGTTAGTACCTTACTATTTAGTAAGTACCTTACTTTTTGACAAAATTCGACCACTGATCGGGGTGCATTCCATCGGCAATCCTTTTGGACTGCAGTGACACCAGTGGATCACAACAAGAGAATGCATATTCACTTTTTCAAGTCTTCGTAATTCAATATTTAAGAATATTGATTAAATATCTTTTTTGGTCTCTCTACTATTGAAAAAAGTTTTTTTTGGTCTCTATACTGAAAAAATCTCCTTTTTGATCCTTAAATTTTAAAATCCGATCCATTTTTGATCCCTTTGTTAAATTTTTGCTTATCTGGCATGTTAATTAACGGAAATTGCTAATGTGGATGTTACACAATGTAAAGATGCTTATGTGGACTTAATATACCCCTCCATGTCAATCTCTTTGCGTGAAAAAAAAAGCTTAATTGATGGACCCACATTCTGCAACTCTCCTTTCTTTGTTTTTCTAGTTTCTTTTAGATTCCTCCCTAGATATCATCTTCTTTCTTTCAAAAGTCTTGTTTCTCATTCATAATCAACTCTTTGCATGTGAAATTAGTCAAGATATAATTGAGAATTCATAAAATTATTTTCATAAAACCATTTTCATTGGTAAAAATAAAAATCAATTACTAATTAAAGTGATTTATTAATATTGTCAATCTTAACTTCTTCTCTGCAAAACAATCCTTCCCTTTACAGATTTTCAACTCTTTTTTTCTGTTCAACCTAAGTAATGAATGAATTAAGTCACGGAGTTCATAGCAACATGAACACAACAATATGAAT